ACACACACACACACACACACACACACACACACACACACACACACACAAAGCATGAAAGGTTTCTGACTCAAATCAGAGGGAGTCCGACCCTCAGATACGTCTAAGTGAGGCCATCCATCAAAGGATGACCCTGGCACTTTAGCAGAGAAGTTTCAAAGTGCTTCAAACCACACGTTTCACACACTCATACACAAACACAGCACACAGTACACTTACCCATTACTGCTTCCATTACACACACAAAGGGTGAGACACATAGAGCACTGCCTGCGCTGTATTAGAAACGTCGTCACATGGCGGGTGCTGCCAAGAACAACTCTCACCCTGCTAAGCTGTGGGGAGACCAGGCGAAAGGTTTGCCAGTAGAGGCGGCTGACTGAAACTATGTTATCTCCAGTGGAAACATCATGAGCTCAGTTTAAGTGCTATTTATGGGCCAAGTTCTGCTGCGTTAGAGTAGGAGATGCCAGCGATTTTGAGTGTGTGCTAAAGTGGAAACGGGTAGGGTGTGTGTGCTCCTCTATCTTTGTGAAGGATAATTTGAGTTAGACATTAAACAAGCATTAATACATTTTTTGGGCCACTTTGGGCCCGACCAACAAGCTGTTTACACAACACTGACATATTATCACCTTCTTAAGTTGATATGATGAATTTGAAAATCCAAACAGACATGAAGCAACATCAACTGTCATTAGAAGTTGGCCTCTCTTTTAGCTCTGTGTTGGTCCCAGTTATTTCCTCAGGTAAAAAGTATGCATCTTAAAACAACGTTGATGTGGGCGATGAAAGTTAACAAAAAGGTTAAAGTTGCAGGTCAGAAACCTAAAACAATGAGCTGAAAGATGCTGCCGGGTCAGATGAACATTATCTGTGGTTTCATCACTACGAGCAGCACCTCTTATATTAAGATATAAAAAATAAAAAAGCATTGGTCCAAGGTTGGGCAATGATTTTCCACAGATGACCACATCAGAAAATCACACAGAGTCAGGAGCTTAAACTTATGCAGATACTGTCTGTCTTTTAAAAATAAAATGCATTTTTTTGGTCTATTTTCAGCTGCGGATTTCAGCAGCAGCGGGGTTGTGTATTAACAAGTGTGCATATGCAGTGTAATGACAGTCACCCAATGGAAAAGTGTGGCTTATTGGTGTGTTTTTAACTGTTTCTGGACAACGGTATAGTTATGCATCACAGATGAACAACCCATATCAAAACAAATCATAAGCGGGATCAGTTCATTTTTGGTCTTTTCTTTTGATTTGTTAGAAATAAAAGAAATATCACCAGACCTTATCCTTTAAGATGCAGATCAGGGGTTTGCCAATGTCAATATGTCAAGGAAGGTCAGTATGAATGGATTAATGAGATGCTGTGTTACTTGCAAGACAACAGGACAGACTCGACGCGCAGCGTCGTCTGTCGGCATCACAGACATCAGTTTCAAGAATGGAAGACAGCCACCAGGGAACACGTGATGGCTAAACTGGGGAAATAACGGTATTGTCAGAATAGACATTGTAGACTTTTTCATTTCCTGGATTCTTCAAGCAAAGGACTCAGAACTGATCAAATAAGTAGCTCAGCATGAGAGAGACCAACCTTTGTTACGAACGTGAATACACTAATTAATGTATCAATCAATCCGTGTGTCCTTGAGAGAGACACTGAGCTGCTATCAGCTCAACACCGTCGGTAGCTGTGGATAAGAATCATCATGTTTTGTGTGTAAATATTAAGGGTGTTGCTGCTTAGAAAGCCTTGAGTTTTATATTTAGCGTTACTCAATGTTTTCAGAGTTGGAAACTCTATTGCATGCTAATAACTGTTGTATTTTCACATTTCTTGACAGTTAACATCCAAAGTAAATAGCACGGTCAAACAGAAATCCAACTCCCCAATCAGTCGGAGAGATTACAGAGAGAGGCTTAGTGCTCGGCTCAATGATTAATTAATGCATAGCAGATAGGAGCAGGGCTTCTGCTGTTTTAGGAGATCGGAGCCAGCGAGTGTGTTGCCTCGGGGCCCAGAGAAGTTTTGAGCACAGCCCCATTCCTATCTCCTGTCTTCCCCCTCTCTTTGTCTTGCAATTGCAGAGATGTTGCGCAAGCTGGAAAAAATATGCGAGGGTATGTGATGGGCCACGTTAACACAGCAGCACTGGATTTAGTTGAAAGGTATTCAAAAGGGGCGTATATGTATATATGTTTTTTTATATTTCAGGATGCCACAGTGTGAAAGGCTTAAATCAAAGTAGATTAAGATAGACACATTTATTGTGTCATGTTGTCACTCTTAGCTAGTTTGCTAAGATTAGGTTGAGCAATATGAAAGAGGAATAAGTGGAACCAGGCTTTCTGTTTTGTTGCATTGCATTGTGTCACCACAGCGAGGAAGTGCATAGGAACCCTGAGGGGCAGATGATACCGTACGAAGACCATAAAATGATACTACAACACTTTCATCATAAATAGACACCAGATTGGATACGAGCAGAAGAGTTTTGTTCAAATCCTTATATTTTTAGTATTGTTTGGCAACTAAATAATTTGGTTAACATTAGGGAAATATTTAATCTGCACAATGTCACAAGATCATGCGAGAATCATAATACCAAATTGTTCAGACT